GCCTTAGCTCACTTGTTTTTGTTTGTATGCCATATTAAATATCTAGAAGAACTTTGGGTGTTTACAGAGACGAAATGTACAATATGCCCGAAGTTACACATTAAAAGGATCTAGAAGTTCTATCATTTCTATTCTTTTTTTCAAATTTCATTCATTATTCTCTTTTGAATAAAATGTATAAAAACATTAAGATATTTTTTGTGTGTGTAAATTATAGAATATGACAATTAAAAGAATATAGAGGAAAATCGTTACGAAATAGATACTCCTACCTGACTTGTTTGTTTATCAATCTGTATGGTGGCTTATACTGGCAATAACATACGTCATACAGAAATACTTTCCTTGCAAGATATAGCGTGATGTAATACTGAGCTATTTGGAGGTGGTTGCAATAACGAATTTAAAGTATGTTATTCGTCTGCTTTTGTCAGAATGTCTTACTTCAAATTTATTTATTACGATTCAGTTTTTTAATTACATATTTGAACAATGCAAATTATAAACAATTCATTTTAACAAAATCATGAAGTAATACTATGAAGGACTTTTTATTGAGATTGGAGGATCTCAAGAAGAAAATTCTTCAAATCGATATTTTTATTCCGAAAAATATATATGGGAATAAAACCTCCAAAATAGAAATTGTTTTACAGGAAATCGCCCAATCCCGAAAAAAATGTGTCAATAATTTTTGAAAACTATAGTCAGCTAAATTATTTTGCTCAGTGAATCTTTACATGATTTACTATTGTGTGAAAATGATTAACCGTAAACTTTGTTCAAACGCCAGAAAAAATACTGGAAAATAATAATAATATAATGTGCATGTACACATCCCTTTAAAAATGTAATTACTCGAAAAAGTTACATTTATTGTCAGAAAATATTGACCAAACAAATTCTGGCCATGGTCATACTTTTTAAGAACTTGGTTTTTAGTCTCCTTCTGGAATTCTGAACTTATATTCACAATTCACTTTCTCAAGATAAAATTCTTCAAAATCACATTTCAGTGTTTAATACTTTTACAGGCAACCAAGGTGAGTTCAAAAAAAATTAAAATTAAAAATTAAATTGTTATTGAGATTAAGCAACAAATTTCAGATATGAAATTCAAAGAAGTACAATTACTAAAATGGGGCCTACAGTTTAAAACCCTGATCTAAATTAAGGCAATTGATTTCAAATATGTTTATTAACCCTTTTGCTACCGTACAGATTTCCTGTTCAAATTACGTCCTGTGCCGTGACAGTTTTCTATTACGTTGAATCTATGATGTAACGTAACTGTGACGTCACAAACAATGTACGTAGGTAAAGGTATAAATACATTTTCGTTTTTGCAAAATATCGTTCAAATATAGATAATATTAAACAGATTCTACAACAACAGCCCCTTCGGATAAAATACATTTATAGAACTCACAATTTATGCTAATAATATTTTAGTAGATCTAGTGCAGGCACTTGACGTTACATATTTTTCTTATTTAAAAAAATATAACCCCATATCCAATTCACGTGAATTATTAGGCAGCTAGGGTACCTGTGGATCAAGTGTATACCTGTACAACATATATTGAACGAAATATGAGTAAAGTTAAAAATATATACAAGTGCAGTGTAATTGAAACACAGTGATACATAAAGTACTACTTTTATCTTTTCGGGATTTACCAGGGAAAGTGTTCTAAAACATAAAAAATTCTACTGGACTTGAAAAAGGTTAATTTCTGTTCCTACACCTTATACATATTTTTGAACATATTAGACCTTACATATTACCACATGACGTACACACACTCGTTTCCCTGAAAACACTTGTATTGTTTTAAATTATATAATTATTATGGTTATATTGTTCAAACGTTTATATGTTGAACTTTTTCTGTCTTTTACTTTCACATTTTGTAATTGTGAATTATAACCTGGAATACACCGACTAAGACGTACGTTACTTCCAAAAGTTCGTTCTCTTGGGTGTCTTTACCTCCCTTTATCGGCAACTCGGATACAATCCGTGGATTGTTGAATTCAATCAAATGAAAAAGCTTAAATTTATAAAAACTTATTTTGTCCTTTTTTTGTAATTTTACTACAAATTTTTTTCTACAATATTTTTAACCCATAGTAAAATAATGGGTTAAAAAATATCACAAAATCAAGTGCCTGTGCTTTGTTTTTGGTGCTAGATAAATAAACACCTTCAAGGTCCTTAAAAATTAACAAACATTTCATTTGTTGAAACTAAATATTCCGTCAACATGTAACTTACAATGTGCATCTACATGTGAGTAGTAATTGGCCTTAAAAGTATAAAAGTTTTCATTACAAATATATTTTTCAAACAGAAAGCGTCAAAGTACGATTTTAGGAGTACATAATCATACCAAACATTTTGGCGATCGGCAACTCTTAATGTACGACCCTACAACTGAAATAACAGGCTAGAAAAATAACGGACATGGTTGCTACTGTATATCAGTATATTATGATTTTTCAAAATTACATTGGAGATGTGTGGAACCTTTAGAGCAAAGAGAACCGTTTATAGATTCATCTACCTAATTTGAAATGCCTCGCCTACCTGTTAGGAAGTGAAATAATCTATTACTACTAGTTAAGTTACGTTTGGAGGAAAGCAAGATCTTAGGGGTGCATTTGCGGGGGTGAGGGTGGGGGTCTTGTCCCGATTTCGACCGAAAAGATATTTTGCCTGCCCTCTGATTGTTAATACCTCCCATATTTCTTGCATTAATTTAATAGCAACAAATTCAAAAAAAATTAATCTGACACGAGAAACATGCGAAAATATCTGACCCCGGCTATTAACACCCACCCCGCAGTTAAAATCAATCGTACCTAAAAGAAACCTGTAATGGTCATATGGACAAACAGAGTGGATGGAATTGGATGGGAAATCATAAACATGCAGAGATTACATGTAATAATCGTTTCTTGCAGAAATAAGAGCCATAATTGCTCAATCGACGTAAGCAGTCTTTTCCGGCAATTGGCGATGTTCAATTTCGAGTGAAACATGAAAAAAGTAGGGACAAAAAAGGCCAAAAAATTTTTAAAAAAAATTAAATTCAATGTTTCTTTTCCTTAATTATTTCTTTGTTTTCAACATTTAAACCATTCTGCCCCCCTTTTCGCCGATATACACCCCGGGCTTGTTGGAAGTCCCCCCCTCCCCTAATTATATTTCTTAGACTTTGATCATGTATGCAATACACATACACAGTCGCGATTTTTTTTTTTGATTTTTTTTTTTATTTATTTATTTATTTTATTTTTTTTTTTTTTTTGCTTTCCCTCCAGATTTTTACACTTTTACAATGGTAAATATAATTCATGAAATACCATCAAAACTGGGTGTTGTGGATTTGGGGAAGAGGGCAGGACGACCCACAAGTACATGTACATGTGCCACAAGAAGACATTTCGATTTTTCTTAATGAAAGTGTCATGCACTGACTACATGTATTCCAGAATTAAAGGTATATGTAGAGTTCTTTATCTATTTGCCGAATTTCTTTTATTATGCGACATGTAAACTGATGTTAACTGCATTTCTCTGTATAAACTTGTGATGCTCCTGAGGATAAATCTTTTTATAGTCGGTTAAAAAGCTCTACAAGGCTTAAATGTCAAATTGTTAAACTGTATTACATGTATATATAATGCCGATACTGTAAACCGACTTTTATTCGCGAGAAATATTCGCGAGTTTCGCGACCTACTTTAACTCGCGAATATTAATCGCCGCGAACCATTTATTTCGCTTAGTATTTATAAAGAATGTTTCCTCAGTCGCGAAAATTAATCGTCGTGGATTGATTTGAAAATGACGAATCGCGAATAATAGTTGGTTTACAATATTAGATTTAAAAAAATTATTTACAGAAATTACAATGGTATTACATTACTAGCAGAGTTGGCAAAATGTGCCGGATTACCGACATTTGCCGGTGGATTTCATACATGTCCGGCAAAAGTTGAAACCATGCCGGACATCGTATCCGGTAAATTTTGAAACACCAGTACCTAGAGAAATTAAAGTTATTCCCGTGTTTAAGGAAAAATATCACTGGAAAAAAAAACCACTAGAACTTTTACGGCATTGTATTGCTTTTATCGTTCAGACAAGGATTGAAAATATTGATGAAATTGCATAATTTCAATTCAGAATGCATCAGTTTACATTTTCTAGAATCAAGACAAATGAAAAATCTGTTTAAAAAAATACTTTCTTATAATTTTCAGTAATAAATTGGTTAAATAATTGATAGAGGCCAAACTGGCGCGAAACTCAGAATGATGACGGAACGTCATAGTCAAGCCGTTGGTCATTTTTAGTGCTTTATATAAATTTCCATAAATAAAATTGACCTTGAATCTACTTAGTATACGTAGATCCGACACTTAGGATATACAGTGTTGTTGGTTTTTAGTGCTTTATATATATAGGATCTCCCATGATTTGTAGTTGGATATGATTTTTATCCAACGAGTTGTGTGTTTTTTATTGAAAAAAATTTCAAGGTCAAAATGCCAAAAAAGTTTATGCAGTTGGTCCCATGTCTCTACGTCTTATCGTTTTGAAAAAATTTCATCATTTGTAAACAACAAAAACTTTCAGGGGCAATAACTTACTAAAGGGTTAATGATTACTTTTGCAATGAATAGATTGAAGAGTCTCCTTGGTTAGTCGAGACATTGGTGAAGGTTTCGTATCTCTACAGTTTACGGTTTCGAAGGAGTAGCGATAACAAGATTTTTTGCAAAAGGGGTAATAACTCCTTGAGAGGTCAAAGTTCATATACACAGGGTCAACGGCAAAAATCTTTTAAGAAGTGCATTCTTATGGACAAGAAAACTTTTCGATAAATCTTGAAACTCGAAAAAAAAAATAATTAACAGAAAAAATTCAATAGGTCTTTCCACAGAAAGGTGGAAAGACTTAACAACTGTACTAAATCTTTTTATGCACAGTTTCTTTTTTCCGCTAGTATAAACGACAAGGACTCATAAAAACATACAAAGATCTACAGTTTGTTACAACATTTTTCAAGTTATAGATATTCCACAACTTTAGGTATTCCTTTAATAAATTTGGTATCGGTAGCTTGTCTACAAAAGGAAATATTGATGTATCTTTACTAAGTATTCGCAAATGCTTCCTTATCATCAAACGACAAGCTTGTTTTAAACTAAGTGGTTCCTCCATACTTATACCATTTCTTCTTAGTTCTCTCGTGTTATCTTTGCAGTTTTTATCGTCTTGTGTGAAGTGGTAACCAGCCCCAACAAAAGTTTGTAGGAGGGTATTTAAATTTACACAATCTTGGCGAGTATGATGCTCGGAAAACTGCTGCAAAACATCACTGAGCTTATACAGGTCTGGATCGATGCCATGTTGAAGAAGCATTATAGCTGTATCACAAATAAAATACGGTCCTGGAATACACATGCTAGTTGGAAGACCGGTCTCATAGACTTTTCCTCTCCTGAAAACAACGATGACATATAGAATTATACTATTATACAGAATTTTTACCTTCGGCAGATGCAGAGGGTATTATATTTATCACGGTGACCTTAAAACAATATGATGTCAGAAATTTTTGTTGCAATATTAATTGTAATTAACTATTTCAATGACAGAAAAAAAAAAACTTGATAAACTTTTATTTTTATAGTTGTGAAGGAAGAACTAATTTTAAACTTAAACTGAAGCAAAATTACATTATTGTCATCCTGTACAATATTGATTTCTTATATAATACTATACATTCCAGTGTACAGAAATTTTTCTTCTGGAACAATTTAATATTTTATTTCAGTCTAATTGATCATAAAGATTTAAATCATAAACAAATCTATCATAAAATCAAATTTAAACAGCAAAATAAATTTCTCAACAATGCAGCTCTTATTGCTTTAATAGGTCATCGTGACCTACTTTGGGATCAAGATATCCTGAGGTTTTAAGTTGCATCAACTGACGATTATAAGCCTCTTAGTATCATAGATATATAAAATATGACAATAAAAGAGTAATACACCCATGGTCAGTGGGGAGCCAATAACCAGTTTTCATGTTGTCAACACTTGGTCAGGAAAACGATATTTAGGCAATTTTATTCAAAATCCATCATATTGTTCGATAGTCTGAAAACATGCACACATATGGGGTATACATGCACTCCTTGGACATAAGCTATCGGGGCTAACTTACCCTTTTCAATCCCCTGCTTTTGCGAATGTGAGGGGACATTAAATCTCAATTGTCTGTTAAAGCTGTCACAAAACTTTACCCTGATACATAACTTTTGAATGAGAAAAAATACTGGGGTTCCATGTCTCTGAACACTTAGATTTATTATTATTTTTTTAATGCACGTCAACTCATTTTACCTCGAATAAACCTCAGTGCATTGCTTTTGTATTCAATATGACAGAAAAGTAAAGAAATTCAGGGAATTTATTTACTACAAATGATCCAGGGGTTAATATATACGGTAGCCCGACGTCAGGTGTGGGGCTAGCTTATTTTAATGTAACGATAGTCCGTCGGACTAGCAGACCAGAAAAAAAATCTTGTCGGTTTACTTTTTCTACTTTTTACTTTAACGTTTTCTAAATAGACGAGATTCACGCCCGTAGTAACCAGAACGTGTCCGCCATGCCGGACGAGTGGCAGGGGATATGACGATATTTGTAAACAAATAATACCTGCGCCCGCGTTTTACAGATCATCAGCGCCGTACTGGAAAGGTATTTGACATCCTAAGATCGTCAATGTTTGTGGTCAAGAGTTGAATGTGATTAAACTTGGATTTTTCTGCATTCCAAATGCCAATAAATATCCAGAGGAAAGAAAAGCAAAAGTTTTAGCTATCAGCAGAGATGGCATAGAACCAAAAAGATGATGTGATCTGCGGAGCTCATTTCCTAACTGGTAAATGAATATATTTTAATATATAATTAGGGCTTTAATGACCGAGCTGACCTATCTTTAGCCTACGTAATGATTTACACTCAGAATCTAAGCATATAAGATTGTATTTACTTTTTTAATGCCTTTCATAACCACCACCACCCCCCCCCCCCTCCCGCGCTCCCACGAGAATAAGAAACAAGTATCATCAAATATCAATTGATAATTTTTACTAAGAAATTGATTTTTTTTTTAGTTAAACCATCTGATGATTCTGAAAACCAAGATTATGTACCACACGTTTCTAGACACTCTCCTACTCCTCAGAGGAAACTAGAAAACGATCTTGTGCGATATGAGAGACGGAAGAAAAGAATGAAATACAAAATACAGGCAACAAACTCGAGTCATGCTGCTAGTTGGGTTTTTTCCCTTTACCCGTCCTAAAAACCATGATGGTGATCCAGAGCCCATGGATGCAGCCCCCACTGCCCTCAGTTTAGTAGAAGAAGAAAACGAAAGGCTTAAGAAGCCTATGGAATGAAAGAGGAGATTGACCATCTGAAAACCAAGCTTAAGTCAACTGCATTCAATGTGAAGTCCATCGAAAACACTGACTCCAAAACAAACTTTTACGCTGGATTACAGAGATATGCCCTGTTCATGTTTTTGTTTAACTTTGTAAGTGACAATGCGTATGGAGGAACATTACTTCCCTTGCAAGATGAATTGTTTATCACTTTAGTGAAGATACGCCTTAATTTAGCATTTGAGGGCTTAGCAAATCGAGCAGGAGTATCCTACACTAGGGCAACCAGAATTTTTTTTATAAACGGTTGGACATTCTACACGTTCGATTAGCATTTCTGATCACTGTAAACCAACTTTTATTTGGGTGCAAGAAATATCCGCGAGTTTCGCGACATACTTTAACTCGTGAATATTAATCGCCGCGAACCATTTATTTTGCTTTGTTTCCTCAGTCGCGAAAATTAATCGTCGCAGATTGATTTTATACGAACGAATCGCGAATAAAAGATGACGCAAATAACACTTGGTTTACAGTAAGTGGCCAGGGTATCGTTTCACAAAAGCATCGTAAGTTGTACGTAGTACGTAAGTGCGACGTAAGTAGTGCGTAGCTAAATTTCGGCGTTTCACGAAAGCGTCTTAAATCGCGTTGCGTCGTACGTAACGACGTAATTTTACGTCACCTCGAATGTGACGTAAAATAACGTCGTAACATAAGTACTTGAAAATGGCAGCGTTTTTGCGGGTGTACGATCATGCGTCTCGGAAAAGTTTGAAGCGACAGCGTGTATTTAGAGACAGGTTGAATCCACTGAATTCATACAGTGATGACGAAATTATTAAGAGGTTCCGTTTGGACAGAAGGTCGATATTAAGAAAGTCCTGGAAAACTAAAGTTTGTAGACATGAATCAAATCAACAACTATTTCCTTTGAGATATTTAACTTCAGTTGAGATACCTACAGCGAGCAAATTTCCTTCCAGCATTTGTTTTTCCTTTGGTTAGTGTTTACATCTTTGTGGGAGGGAAACAAAATGGAACGATTTTTTTCTACCTCCTCCATCAAAATTTCAACCTCCCTTGCTAAAAAACTCTTTTTTCTCTCTTTCTTGATTTTATTTACAACTTCGTCTGCCATTTTTTTTACTTCCGGTATATTTACGTACTTCATAAGTTGCGCATATTTACGACAGTTCTAAGTACCTTTCGTGAAACGGTCTTAACGTAGTACGTAGGTACTACTTAAGTTCGTCGTAACTCGCTAAGTAGTACGTAATTTACGATGCTTTTGTGAAGGTCGTGAGGCACTTCATGGAAGCCTACCAAATATGATCAGAAAAACATTTTCCTTATAGATCTTGCATCATTGACTGTACAGATGTATTTATTGAAATACTATCACGGTTGTTAACAAGGGCCAAGACTTGGTCGAACTACAAGAAATACAACACTCTCGAGGTCCTTGTTGCTTTATACCAACAGGATCCATTTCATTTTTGTCTAGAGCATGGGGCGGGAAAATTTCTGACAAGGATATTGTGCAACAAAGTTGTGTATTGAACAAGCTGATGCATAGAGACCAGGTATAAGCAAAAAGAGGATTTGTAAATGAAGAGAATTTTGCTGTGAGAAGTGCTACCCTAGTCAAATCCTCATTTACTACAGGACGTAAACAGTTACCGACAAAGGACTTTGAGGAGTCGCGATGCATTGCCTCTGTAAGTTGGGAGATGTATTGATTGATTGATTGTATATTGATTTATGTCCCATTCGAGAACTTTTCACTCATATAGAGACGTCACCATATACCGGTGAAGGGTTTCAAATTTAGACCTTTACTCGGCACTCAGGGCCATTAAGCAGTGAGGGTTATTTATCGTGCCAACGCCTACCCGGGGCCTCGGTTTTTAAGGTCTCATTCGAATGACCCGCAACTTTCACTTCGAAGTGCCGAGCGCTTGGCGAAGGCACAGATACTACCTATTTTTATCGACTTAGGTCAGTCGCGGCCGTGATTCGAATACATGACCTTCCGATCACGGAGTGAGCGCTCTACCGACTGAGCTAATTTGATGGTTTGAGAGATGTATTGGACTTCTCAAATCAAAGTATCAGACACTAAAAGGACAACTGCCTATAATCGAAGTGAAACGATCAGATGACATTGGTTTTGCTACAGCTGACAAGTTCATCTGCGTAAGTGCTCTTTGACAAATCTTGGTGAAAGTATCATAAATAAAGACGAAGCAAAATGACTGTGAGCAGTGTTATTTGGTACATGTATTGTGATTTTGGACAAAATGACTGAAATCTGTCAAAGTAGTTTACATTTGCAAGGAATTATTCTTAATTTGAAACTCATGTCATTCATGATGTCTCTGCTTGTTTATATGTCATGTATGTCTCTGCTTATTTGAATATTTTTTTTTACTATTCATAAATAGTAATGTACATTTTATGTGATATCATTTAAGATGGAACTTAAACACACTTTTTAAAGGACAGTAACAGTAATGTAATTAATGTAACAGCATTTTGATGATAATTCATCCCATTCAGTAAGGCCATCTTTAAAAAAAAAATTCTGGTTGGCCTCTCCTGACGCACTATACTTTGTCCTTCCCAATACGCAAAATACAGTTCTGTACATATCCAGACAGGAAGTAGTTATAGCTCTGGAGGCTTTTGAAAGCTTTCATAGCGTCCTTCGTGTGCACCCCGGGGTTGTCTATCAATTACGTGAAAATGTCAGGGTACGACACATCAGGCCACACTTTCATGTTGTCCTCTCATTTTCCCTTCTCAGTCTCGTACGAGCACTGATCTAAATTCAATAAAGATAGTTTTTTTGCTTGTATCTTTCCTGACTTGCCGTTGCTAAACATATGAAATAGGCTTTCTCCTTCATGTTGTTTACGTCCCAGTTCATTGAAGCGCGCCTAAGAGTTCTGCCCTGCAATTTGGCAGCGCCTCTTTTCGATGTAGCTATGGAATGTCGTGTATATTTAAACTGGTTTCTTTTGACTGAAAACTAA